ACGCGCATGCGCGGGGTGGGCTGTGGGTAGGGGGGGGACCGGGAGCGGCCTCCGGGCCTGACGGTGCCCCGAGCCCCGCGCGGGCCTGGGTCGCTGGGCCGGTCCGGTGGGTGCCCCTGTGTAAGGCACAGCGCGGGCCTGAGCGTGTGCACGGCGAGAATCTGCTGTTTGAAGCAATTTTGGCGTCCAGACGGCGTAGGAATGATGATTTTTGAGATACCGACTGAATCTCTCGCCTTTGCAGGTCAGAATGGCATCAGACGAGGGAAAGCTCTTTGTCGGCGGGCTGAGTTTTGACACCAACGAGCAGTCGTTGGAACAAGTCTTCTCTAAGTACGGACAGATCTCAGAAGGTAAGAGGGCAGCACCCAGCTGGGGGGGCGTCTGTGGACCCCGGGGGTTGTCCCGGTGCTGGTGCCTTATTTCTTTCTCTCCTCCTTACAGTTGTTGTGGTGAAAGACAGAGAGACTCAGAGATCCAGAGGTTTTGGCTTTGTTACTTTTGAAAACATAGATGACGCTAAAGACGCGATGATGGCCATGAACGGAAAGGTGAGGAGGCTTCAGAGCTTTTCTATTGCCTTAAAATGCAGCAAGAGAAGTTTGAAAGATGTGTGTCTGTTCAATGCCACGCAGAAAAACAGATAAATCTAGTGTTTTAAAGCAGTGGGACTACATAAATAACAAGAAAGAAGTTGTTAAAAGTTTCGCAACTTAATATATACAATTGAAAAATAGTGATGCTTTATAGGAATTGCTTCTGTTTACTGTTTGAACGGGAATTTACTGTGTAGTTGGCTTAGTTGTGACATTTAAATAAGACTTTTGTAGAACTTAACTAAATTTTGGTACTGCTTGCCTGGCAGTGAAGGCGTGTCCCTCATTGTGTGTGTGTGCTTTGCTGTTTAACTGCCTAAATATTGACCTGGTGTATTTTTTTTCTTCTGGGTAGTCTGTAGACGGACGTCAGATCAGAGTTGATCAGGCTGGAAAATCATCAGAGAACAGATCCCGTGGGTACAGAGGGGGCTCCTCAGGGGGCAGAGGCTTTTTCCGTGGCGGCAGAGGTCGGGGCCGTGGCTTCTCCAGAGGTGAGTGTGTGTCTGTGTGACTTGTGGTGCTTGTGGTAGTGATGTCATTTGTCAGAATGCTTAAAAAACGCATTTTTGGTGTCTGTTGCAGGTGGTGGGGAAAGAGGCTATGGCGGAAGCAGATTTGACTCCAGAAGTGGAGGGTACAATGGCTCCAGAGATTACTATAATAGCAGGTAAAGGCATCGTGGCCGCTGGCGGGTGGTGGGGAGGCTGTTGAAGATTCGTTGCCGGTTTGACATCAATAAAAGGCAGAGCAGTTCTAAAGCAAGTGACTCTTTTTTCAAAGGCAGAGCAGTTCTAAAGCAAGTGACTCCCTTTCCCAGCAGGAGTCAAGGTGGCTATGGCGACAGGTCCTCAGGAGGCTCCTACAGAGACAGCTACGACAGTTACGGTAAGTGCTGGTTCAAGCGGGAGCGCTGTACGTGTGCTGTAGGCACTCTCTAAACCTTCTCACCCTCTGCTCGAGTCTGGGGACGCCGTACGGCGCAGTCGGACTGTACCGCTAGGTCTGCTCTTGGCCCGTAAAGAACCAAATCTGTCAGGCTTTGGACGTGGTTGTGCCGGTTAAAAGTTCTAATTTGTAATGCATGTGTAGGAGTTGCTTGGATCTAAGGCAAAAAAGCAAGGTTTTTTTTAAAAAAAAAAACACAGTATGTTCCTCGAGCTTGAGACTAAGCCCAAACTCGGATGCCCTAACAAACTTTAATCAAGGGTGGGGGAGTTGTCGTACGCTGTAGCCAACTAGCACTAGCTTCGGAAATAATGCAAAGGGAGTAAAATGCTGGAACTTGTCTATGCTTCAGTGCCTTTACAATTGTGCCTGCTTCTTGTCCTCAGCTACACACAACGAGTAAAAATCCTTCCTGACTCAAGATCGTCCTTCCAATGGCTGTATTTATAAAGATTTTTGGAGCTTCGCTGAAATCGTTATTGTGTAGTACATCTACTTGTATTTTCACTTTTGTAGTATTATCAGTTCTAATCTTGTCAAACACAGCCTGACAGCTTCTGATAATAAGATGGTCTAATTAGACTTTTCTTTAAAGAAAGCTCTGCTTTCAAGTGTTTTTAATCTTTTTTGAAAGCACTTCAGATTTTATTTTATCCTTCACGATGAGCCAAGGTGTTTCTTTTTTTTTTTTTAAAGTTGTGAAGTTGGGGCCCCAATTCAGTTTCTTTTGAGATAGAAAGGACCTTTAATTCAATGTTCACTGGAAGCTGAACAAGCTGTGGACTCTTTTTTTTTTTTTTAAGTGCATTACCTTCGTCTTTTGTAACATTCCTTTAGTGTAGCAAGGTAGGAATGCAGCCTGGGTACAAATTGGAAGGCAAACCACCTTGATATATCTAAAGAGAAACTTGCTTGTATGTTCAACCTGCATAACGGTATTTTTACTGTTGTAATGATGTAAATTACCCAGAAATAGACTTGCAAACTTACCATAAAAAAAAAAGAGGTTCTTGAAAATGTTTATTTATATTGTCCTTTTTTACTGGAAGAAATATGCATATTCCATTGATATTGTATTTGAAGTGGTAAAGGATTCTTGTATACAGTTTTCTTTGGCTTTACGAAGCCTATTAAAAGACCGTCTGAAATGAACTCTGCTCCTGACATTTACATTTCATTGCACAACACAATCCTTATCTACGAAGAACAGTCTGAGAGAGAGAGAGAGGAGAGAAAAGCCTTAGTGACGGTGTAAGAGCCAGACGTACCCACCAGTTGCTAGAATTAAATCGGTCTTGACATGTGAATTTGTCAAATACCTGCACATGAGAATGGTGAAACCTGTCTAGAGGCAGAGACCGACAGTCGGAAGCGGAGGGAAGGCTGGTGGTAGGAAGGATAATTGATGTTTCCATAAAATGCTGAAATAGCCTACACTGAAACGCTGTAGCTGAGAACCAGTCCTGTAGTCACCGGCCTCGTTAATAGGGTGTCAGGGGTGTGCAATGGTAGGTAAATTGCCGTAATTAGCTAGCTTTGTCATTGCCTTACAAGTTCTAAGAATTCTTTGCTAGCATATGGAAACTGCAGTGTCCTTGGAGAAAAGAAGTGTTGTGCCTCCAACAGAAACCTCTGAGACGAAAGCTGCTCTCTTGGCTAGTTCATATGTGGAAATAGTCCTGTAATTCGAGGTAACTCCTTTTGCTCATGTCCGCATCCTTCCTCTTGTTGAGAGCTCATTTTTGAAAGTCTTAAATGTACCTTGTGAAATAGTCCTTTTGACAATTTTGGTCAACCGATGGAAAAAAAAAAAATATTAAATACTAATAATTGTAAGCCATGCCGTACGCAACCTTTGGCTTGTGGCACAACTTGCGTCCCACAGATGAGGGTTGGGCATGCCGTCATGTCTTGCCAGTAGGTACGGAAGCAAGATGGGAAACCAAGAATTCCCTGACTCGATCCGTGTTCATCTATCGAGACTCTTTCTAGACTTCATTTAAAGTTGCTCACTTTTAATTGTAGCTTTCTTTGCCATCCTACTTGTTGCCATTAACTTTTTCCCATAGCCCACACACTTCCTAAGCGGCCATGTCCGAGTGGTAACTCTCTGCTTAGGGAGCAAACGATCCGCTGGCCGGCGTAGCCAAGGCACTAGCCAGCCCCGCAACAGTTTTTTTTCCCAGACTGTGCTTCTGTGGCGTGTGGTGGGTTCAGCGAGCGGCTGGTGAACCCCTCCTGTGCGGTGTGTCGGGGGGAGGCGGGGGGCGACCAGAAGGCTCCGCTCGACGGTTTTATTAATGCCCCGTTGCTTTGGCAGGGTGAGAGGAGACGGAGGCGGCTGGGAGCACCCTGAGGAAGGAGGTTCTGAGGAAGCGGGGCCAGGAGGAGAGTTGGCCAAGCAGGTAAGGACTGTTTGCCCCCCAAATGATGGGAGCCCCATCCCTTGAAGGAGGAGAGCCCCATCCCTTGAAGGAGGAGAGCCCCATCCCTTGAAGGAGGAGAGCCCCATCCCTTGAAGGAGGAGAGCCCCATCCCTTGAACAGTGACTCCATCCCTTGCCCCGTAGCCATTCCCAAGCCAAAAAAAGCTTTGCCCTCCCTCGCCGTGTCCCAGAGCTCTTCTCCCAAGTGGGGAACAGTCCAACTAGTAGTTTCTAGGTGAAAACTTCCCCTCTGCCTTTAAAAATGACCATTTTCATTCCCTTTCAGCAATAAAAGGCGTCTGAGAAGACCGAGAAGGAGCAGCCGTTGACTGGAGGGAGAGAGGGAGATGAAGAGCTTTTGGCCACTGTTGTGACTGGTTTTTATACAGGTCAACTGGAGGAGGAAATAAGTGGATTAAGCTAGAATAAAATAATGGAATGTGGAAAAATCTCTGTAGTACTTTTGTGGGGAAATACAAGGATATTGGGTTGTGGCCAAGGTGTACAATAGAAACCCAGTTCTCAGGTGTGGAGCCCAGTTAAAAATATGGAATAAACCAAAGCTGTTGTGTTCTGGGGACGTGGGTGGGGAGGAACCTGTCTGTAAGGGCTAGTGTGAGGGAGAAATTCAATTGCATCATAGTAACCTTCAATTAAGTGGCTTAATTACCTGAAGCTTGTGTATCTGCCAGACTTGAGACACAGGTGCATTTGAGGGGCTCTGTTGGGTGAGTGATGGCACAAACGTGGGGTCGGTGCTTGTGTGGGAGAGAAGCTGCTGCTGCAGGGGAAATGGTGACTGATACAACAGTCTAATTTGCTGAAGTTTTTTTTTTGGAGCTTGGATAATAAATGGTTTCCTTCCATAGGCATTAGAGTAATTTTTTGCTGATGCAAGTTGAGGTGTGATGTTTCTGTTCCTCACTGAAGTTCACAGAGTTTTACACCTTAAAATTTTCAGGTGGGATGGGAAACTTTCCTGTCTGAAACTAGTGATCTCTCTGTGTTCGGGTACTTTCCCATCTCGGTGAAGGGAGAGGCAAACTTCACAGTTGGGTTTGGGGTTCATGAGAGTTAAATACTTACTTTATCTAGGTCTGAAAAGCCACAACTTGGGTATTAGCAAATTAACTCTGGTCACTTTGATTCCTGTGTGGGGCAGTGGCTAATAAAGGACTTGGATCCACGCTCCCTAATTAGCAAGTGTTGCCTTTTCATCATGTCTGCTGCATTCTGCAGAGACGGGACTGTGCAGGAGTTAAAACACTGGGCTTGTGGTGTTTAATTAAGGTTTGTTATTGCGGGGTTGTTAATGGCTGCAATTTTGGTTGCTGTGTCCAAACAAGCACCCGCCTGGTGGCTCCTGCACCTGAGCCAGCTGTGAATGATGGGGCTTTTCTAGCTCTGTAGAAGTTGGGCACAGAGCAAAGGCATTTGGGATTCCTTGCAGGAAGTTTGTGCCCTGGTGGTGATAAAATATTTTAACTTTGCTCTATTAACCTTCAGCAGTAAACTGAAGTTTAGGGGAGGATTTTCAGCCTTTTGTGTTCCTTGGCCTGTGCTGTAGAGATGGTGCTTTCCAACCCCAGCTCGGTTGGATTAATGCTTCCCCCTGCCCAGTTTTAAGTCCCATCTTCAAAATGGGACCATCAAAAAGTTAAATTAGCCAGAAAAACTGCCTTTCTCTTCCGTATGTGCAGAATATTTGTTTGGAATTTTTTTACTCAGTTGCTGCCTTGTCCCTGGCTCGTAATGAAGTCACGAGCGCTGGTTGCCGAGTTCCTCCCGGTCCCTGACTCCACATTTTTCATGCCGTGGATCATAAGATCTCTCTAAAGTAGATGGTGATGTTTTCTGATCCATCACGCTGGAACTCAAACCGTCCTTGAAAGTCCTTTTGCCCTTCAGGGTGTCATCTTTGGTGCTACACTGTGGGGTGGAAGCAGCTTCCATTGCTCCCGAGTCATGTCTGGCAGTTTTGGGGGCTCCAAAGCCATCACTGTCTTCCTGAGACCATCACGAGCTGAACCCAGGCTCGTGAGAAATGATTTAATGAAGAATGAGACCTCCTGGAAATGTCGTAGCTCAGTAATGAGGAGGATTCATCCTGGCAGTTATGGATGTGTTTGGGCAGCTTTGAAGAGAATGGGGCAGGAGGTGGCAGCGATGTGAAGGCAGAGAAGGGGGTTTCCGATGGTCTCTGCTGCCCTCCTTCCTGGGTTAAAAGAACACAGTTGATAGCTTTATCCTCTTTTCCTGCTTTTTTTCTCCCCCTTTTTTTTCAACTGATAGTTTTCTGGCTTTTGGTTACACCCCACTTGAAGGACAGTCTTCCAAGAGCAGTGTATGATGAAAAAAAAATCCTGCTCACACAGCCCAAGGGCCTTTGAAGACATTACTTGAAAAAGCTTTAAAAACTTGTGCTTTTATTAAGAGATTTCTCTTGCTGGGGGGGTCCTGGGCGTAAATGAATTCAATCAAGTGCCAGTGGGGCATTTGCTGCCCAAAAGCCATCCGTGCTCTGGGGCGTTGGTGCACGTGGAGTGGGAATGACATCTAGCTTGCTTCCCAAAACCTACTTTCTTCTTTTTTTAACCTTTTTTTTTTTTTTTTCCAAATTATCTAAGTGAACAGGGTTTAAAAAAAGAAACCAGCTGACACACTTTTGGGGGCTGTATCCAGCAACTCACTTGGTGAGGATTTTTGCATGTTAATGAATGGTGGTATTAAATAAAGGGGCATGAGGGTGTGAGAAACCTTTCCTGACTTAAAAATGCAGTCGGGTGACATTTAAACGAATTTAAAACTGTAAATACTCACAAAGCATTATTTGGAAGACCTTCCTAAGCAGGATGCCTACATGCTTAAGCGCAGGCAGGAATAATTAATAGGTGCAAAAAAATAGAGGCCTAGTTTGAGGTGCTGTTATTTTGGCATCGCTAATTACGGCAGTGCATTAATGAGGGGAATAGCTACCTGCGGGGGCTGGATGTAAAACCCTGTTGCATGGGCCCGATGTGACTTCTGCTGGGGGGGTGTGTGACCCATTTTCAGCCAAAATGCCCCTTTTTTCTTCACGTCCAGGCAGCTCCCGGCCCTTTCCTGAGAGGAAAGCTCGTAGGGGTGAGCAGAGTCCTGTGGAGAAAGAAGGTGGTCGTTAGAAATGCTCAGAATGCTTGTGTTTTAAGCAGTGGTCACTTCTGGCGGGGAAATTGCCGTCGTGGCAGGGGAATGGTGACCCTGAGGGGGGAACGGTGGCCCTGAGGGGAAAATGGCAGCCCTGAGGGAGTGAATCTTGCAGTGAGGGGGGGACACAGAGACCCAGAGTGGGAAACGGCGGCTCTCGGGGAGGGAGTCTTGTTGTGAGGAAGAAATAGTGGTTCTTAGGGAGAAAGAGGGCCCTGGGGACGCTACGGCAGCTGCGACGGGGGGAATGACGACCCTGAGGGGAAAATGGCGGCCCTGAGGGAGGGAGTCTTGCCTTGAGGGGGAAATGGTGGCCTCGAGGGAGAGAGGGCGGCCCCGAGGAGGCTGCGGCGGGTGTTGGGAGCAGGGAATGGCGCCCCTGAGGGAGACCTGGCCTTCTGAGGGGGATCGGCGGCGGCTGCGCGGGCAGGGCCGGCCCGGAACGGCGCTGCCCCGGAACGCACCGTGCGGCTCCGCCGGGCCCGGCCGGGGCCTGCTCCGCGCCGCACCGTCCCGCCGCCGCCCCGCCGAGGCCCCGCTCATCCCGGCCCGGCCATGCTGCGGCCGGAGCCCCTCTGCCTCCTCCTCCTTCTCCTCCTGCACGCCGCCCGGGCCGCCGAGCCCGCTCCTTCGGCCGCCCCGAGCCCGCTCAACGGCACGGAGGCGGCGCGGCCGGCGGCGGGTAACGGGACGCGGCCGGACCCGACGCCGG